CCCAAGCCCTGTGTCATCTCGTGGGTCTTGTCCCATAACTCCATTACCCAGCTGGGGTGTTTGCTGTGCCCAGGTGAGTGCAGCAGCTGGGTGCGTCTCTGGCAGGTTGTGGAGCAGCCCCTCTCCCCTCTCCCCAGCATACGCACTACCCGCAGTTTGCAAGCCGGGAGTTCACAGGGCGGTCGCGTCGGGGGCCCTTTGGTGATGCTCTCCTGGAGTTCGATGCCTCGGTGGGACACTTGCTGCAGGTGCTGGAGGACAGTGGTCTAACAAACAGGACGCTGGTGTTTTTCACCTCTGACAATGGGTGAGTGCGAATGTCCTGGTTGGTAAGATCCTCCTGCCTTGGTGTGGAGGAGCTGCGATGAGACCTTGGGTGGCTGGGGCACAGGTGTTGCGGGTTGGCATTGCCAAGAGAGATCCTAGTGACCTGGAATGAGGCTGGGGGTGAAGGTTGCTCTGGATAGGACCTGTTACATGAACCCTTTGCCCCTGGGAGCCAGCTGTGCTTCTTGTCATGGACAGAAGCTCCACGGGCCTGGGGCCGGGGTGTGCTGCTGTGATGCCTCCCAGTCTCTTTCCTGTGTTGGTGGCCTTGGTCTCTAGTGTCCTGCTTGGCTATCTGGCACTCCTTGGCCTCCTCAGCCCATCCTGCCTGTTTGAAAGGCTCAGCAGGGTGGCAGGGCTGCACATTGGTGCCTTGTCAGTGTGGCAGCGTGGCCCCACTGTGAGCATTAGGGAGGGGGTAGTGTGGAGCTGCAAGACTGACGGGAGCTGGTTCCTCCCTCTTCGCTCGCAGCCCTTCCACCATGCGGATGGCCCGTGGGGGCAGCTCTGGCCTTCTGAGGTGTGGGAAGGGAACAACATATGAAGGTGGCATGCGGGAACCAGCAGTGGCTTATTGGCCGGGCCGCATCACTCCAGGTGAGACCTGGCCCCGCTCTCCTCTTGCGTGCTGAGGCGGGGCTGTTGTTGCAATTGAGCTCTCCTGGGACCGGTGGAGGAGGGGAGAGGGGTGGTGAGGATGATGGGCATGGGAATGGGATGAGATGCTTGAGCCTCTCCTTGTGCCTTGCTGTGGTGGCAGGAGTGACCCATGAGCTGGCGAGCACCCTGGACATCCTGCCAACACTGACTGCTCTGGCTGGAGCAGCTCTCCCCAGCGTTGCCCTGGACGGCTACGACTTGAGTCCAGTGCTGTTTGGCTCAGGGAAGGTGAGTTTGTTGGGCCAGTTATGGCTAGTGCAGCGCATAGAGGTGGGGTGTGGGAAAGGAGCCTTCTGCCTGGTTAGTAGCCCCAGCCTGAGGGCCTGGGGAGAGCCATGAGCTGAGAGATTTTCTGGTCTTGGGCCAGGCCTGTGCCATGCCATGGAGTTCCCGGGCGTCCCCAGCCTGCTCCAAGGCATGCTGTAGCAACTGTTGTGTGTTGCCAAGCCAAACGCCCAGGGCTGCAGTGCCAGGACAGAGCCCCGATTTCTCTGAGTTGGGAGCAAATAGGATGCTGCTGCTCGGTGCTGCCTTTGCTCCATCCTGCCTGCGGTATCAGGGCTTCTGTATGACTCCCTACGGTCTCTACGTGGTCCTGTCCCAGCCTCTCTTCCAGCCTCAGTGCTGTGCAGGTGACCTCATCTCGTTTGCTCCCCGCAGAGTCCCCGTCAGACAATGTTCTACTACCTGCCGGCCCCTGATGAGCTGCACGGGCCCTTTGCAGTCAGGCTTGGGAAGTACAAGGCCCATTACTTCACACAAGGTCAGCACTGCCTCCTCTTTTCTACATGGGTGGCTTGGCGCAGTGTGGTTTGGCTGCCCAAAGCTCAATGGGAGGAAACTGAGCTGCGCTTGGGGACTTCTTTTGCAGGCTCCTTTCACAGTGATACTACCCCTGACCAGGCTTGCCATGGACTGACTCCGCTGACTCCCCATGTGCCCCCGCTGCTCTTTGATCTGGAGTCGGACCCTGCTGAGCACTACGATTTGGTGCAGGGTGGCGCAGGGCAAGAAGTTCTGCAAGTGCTGGAGGAGATCAAACTGCAGAAGGCGCTTTTTGAACAGCGCATGGAGTTTGGAGAAAGCCAGATCGGGAAGGGCAGAGACCCTGCCCTGCAGCCCTGCTGCATCCCAGACTGCACCCCCAAGCCCTCCTGCTGCCACTGCTCCTAGCCCTGTGCCGCCCCAGCCCCTTCACACTCCGACCTTGTCCCCAAACTCTGCAGAGCCCTCTGCTAAGCAAGCTCAGCTGTAGTGCAGCCTCGAGCCTTGGTTCAGTGCCACCCGGGACTATGGGGTACTGCTGTGGGGAGCCGCATGTGTGGAAGTTCAGTGGACCTTGCACTCCCCAGTGGATCTCTCGGCCGAGGTC